CGGGGGCGCTCACCTTCTTGCCCGCGTGGCGCAGGGCCAGGGCGAGCTCCGTGGAGAGGGTGCTCTTCCCGACGCCCCCCTTCCCCGACAGGATGAGGATGATGTGCCGGACGCCAGCCAGGTTCCCAGGCTCTGCTCAGGACAAGGAGGAGGCTGCCATAGACGCTCACCACTGCCCTTCACTTGCTGTCACCACTCACCTCCTGTCTCCCGAGTCCTAGGCCTGCCCCTTCCCCGAAGATCCTCCTGCGGGCCACAGGCCTGGCCCTTTGGTTCCTGCAAAGCTGCTGCTCCCACTCTTGTCTGAAATGCCCCAAACTTGTCCTCCTCCTAGTGTGCGCATGTGCGACTGCACCCACGTGGGCGATAAGCCAGCTGCTGGCTCGCTGCAGATTCCAGTGGAAACAGGTGGAGACTAATGCAAATTGGGTCATTCCGGCCATGAGATAGTTCTGTGCTTGGGCAGCTCCCACCCCGCTCCTCGGACCCAGGACTGATCCTCTGGGGTCTAAAAGGCAATCGAGGCAGCCTTGGCCTCCAGTTCTCAGGAGGGACCCTTACAGCTCTGGGGATCCCGAGCAGCTGCAATCATGCGTGCGTGTGAATGTCAGTGTCATCTGGCTGCCAGCAGTGCCTTAAGGAACCCTAGGTACACAAGGGCGGCCACAGGATGCCCCTGCATGCTTGGTGACTCCCACACAGGTCCTGGGACCACAGAGTTGTCTCTGGACCCATCGGCTGCTAGCCACTCTGAATTCCTCCCAATGAGCCCCAAATGTCACCAAATAAATATTCACCAACTCAATCCCTGCACCCTGTATACACACAACCCTCAGCCCCTCTGCAATACCCCCACATTCTTGCCCCGACACCCTTAGGACCTCACCCCACCTCCAACAAGCTGCTCCCTTCACCACCCTCTCCACACGAAGACAGGGCTCAACAATCAACACAGAAATGCGTACAGTCCTTCCTCCTGGCCCACCTCTCAAGGGTATGTTCAAAAGCCTCCCCCTCCAAAGCCTCCTTAGGAAGGACTCAGAGGGCACCTATCCTGGCTTTCAGGCAGGTTTCTGTTACCAATGCATTAAAGTGCCTTTCCTAGATATGCTTCCAGCACCAGGGGCTGGGACATCTTTTAAGATGACAAGGAAAGGGAACAGCCCCGACCTGGATCACTGCCTGCCAACATGAAGCCCCAGACCGTGGCCTGAGGTCACCCACCCCTGCAGCAATTTAAACAGTTAATTACTTAAATTGCTTTAACATGAAAAGGCATTTGGGAGTCCACTTCACTTTTGTAGGGGTGGAGGGGAGGGCTTGGGTGGAAACACAAGAAGGAGCCAAGCTCCTAATCACTATGACTCACTTTCCTCACTGGTAGGAGTGGGAAATTTTATCTGGAACCAAACAGGACACTCATGCTCTCATCAGGTAACTGGAAGGAGCCAAACTTCTCAAACAGCCATACTTAGGGGTTAACCACAGAACCTTTCACAGCCCTAAGTAAACTGAAGAAGTTTATAAACAGACGATCAACCAAGTGCATTCACCAAGTGCCTACTAGATGTGAGAGGCTGTGCTGGAAGGGGCAAGAAAAGCAGTATCTCCCCTCAGAAGAACGTGAGGAGCCCCTTTATGGATAACAAGTCCTGTTCCGCTTCATCTTTAAGTCTAACCAATCGCGATTATTTGATTACTGGACAAGTTTGTAACTCTTTGTATGTAAGGAATCTTTCTAGAAAGACACAAGTAACATGCCAGGACTGCCTCTGGGCACAGGGAGGTCAATTTTTTTTTTTTTTACTGCATACCCAGTTAGGTTTTTTTGATTTTTATGTGCACTTTCCCCTAGTTAAAAAAGCAGCTCTTTAAATTGATCAATATAGAAGATATTCTTCTTACCTTGTAGCAAACCTGCCTTTATCCTAAAAACCCACTTCACATTTTTTTCCTACAGTGTTGTTTACAATCTGATGGATGAATTCAGCATGTAAGAGCTTGGTGCCCACCCGGCTGGCATGGCTCAGTGGTTGAGCATCGACCCACATATGATCTAGGAGTTCGATTCCTGGTGAGGGCACATGCCAGGGTTGCAGGCTTGATCCCCAGCAGGGGGTGTGCAGGAGGCACCTGATCAATGACTCTCATCATAGATGTTTCTAACTCTCTCTTCCTCTCCCTCCCTCTCTCTGAAATCAATAGTCATATTTAAAAAAAAAAGAGAGAGAGAGAGAGAGCATGGTGCCCAAGGTACCAGACCCGAGGTCTTTCAAAAGATAATGTGGCAAACCTCTGCTTAGGAAAGCCTATATTGGTTAATCTATGCAAATCTGATTATAAGCGCTTATATCCCTTCCAACACTAGGTTTGGAAAGCTAGAATAACAGTTCCACAAATAATTAAAAGTATGTGATGTTCTGGTGTCTTCTTTTTAGAACCCCATATTTAAAAGACTGTTTACTGTTTTCTTGGGGCATCACCAAATCAAAAAACCATGACATAAGATGGGCAGTACTGTTTACTGGGGAGATGAGGAGACCTGGGTTCTTGTCTTCTTGAGAAAATATTTCAATCAAGAGACAAAGTGTAGAAAAGCAAGCAAGAATTTATTGACCAGAGCAAAAATATCATGTGTCCCTCAGAGGAGAGGGGGATGGGAATGGCAGGAGAACCAGCTGGGACTTTCATTTTCAGGGGTTTTGAAGGCTGGCGGTTAGCTTTATGCTGATGCACAAAAATGAGATTCATTCTCTGAACGTCACCTGTCCTTGGGTGTGGTTGGCAAATGGCACCAATTGGATTTCTGCTGTCTCCCCGAGTAAGTGATTTAAGCTACTTACCCTCTGGTTGGGGAGAAGTGCAAACCACTTTAAATATCCTTGGTTCAGGGAAGAGAGGATTTACCAGGTGGCTGTAGACTGCTGTTTATGTGTCTTAGTTTCCCTAGTCTGCTTGTCCTGGAATTTTCCTAGCTTCTTAATATTCTATCACAGTATTTTGTTTTTAACGACAAACAGCGCACGTGATCTGAGTTCCTCTGAATGCACGATCCCGCGCAGCGCAGCACTTACATGAAAACTTGAACTTGAGGACGTTACACACATAAGTACACGTGAGTCTCCGCGACCCTTACACTGTACAGAACACAGTCCGCTTAACACTCATCGCCCCCACGAGCAGCTGCCCGCCGGCCTGTCCCCGCTCCCCCAGCGCCCGCAGACTCACCCGCCGCCGCCTCCATCCCTCCCGCAGGCTGCGAGCTTTCCATCCGCTTCCTCCAGCTGAGTGAAGAGCCTTCGGGCCAATGGGCAGCTGGAGTCCGGCCCCCGGCTCTTCTTGATAGGCCCACTCAAGCCTCTCTGAGCCAATTAGGTTGCACAAAGGGCCTACGCAGGTTCCGGCGCCGACGACGTACCGGAGATGAACCCACTTCCGTGTCAATGCCCGAGTTTGGGGCCGCCTCCTCATCTCGCCCTTAGTCCCCGGGGCGCCTGGGCCTTATCCCCGGCCGCGTAAAATGTGACCCGTGAGGACACCGAGTCAGCATTGGCAGGTTCAGCAGCCTCTCGGCAAGAGGCGTGTGCAGCGGGAACCGCGCCCCGCCTAAGCCCGGGACTTGGAGCGCCAGCCCGCGGCAGCCTGGCCAATGCGTTGCGGGGGGCGGGGATTGTTTACGTCTCGCTCGGGAGTGGAAAGTGGGTCACGGCCGCCGGCGGCGCGCGGCGGCGGAGCAGCGCAGGTGAGGGCCGGTCGCGTCCGCTGCTCCCGACCCTCCCGGTTCGGGACCC